AATGAATGCATTAATGAATTGCTTCATTGCAATGCACGCAGACAATCATGCATGCATGTGGCAAAACATACAGTAAGTTACATCTGCAACTTGCAGATTACCCTCATAAGCACAGATTCATTCACCCGCCACCACCCAATTCAAAAGTCGCCAGCAATCATCACTCTCACTTCCAATAAAGATTGCGGTATTGTTTCATGCAATTACTGTTGCTCTCTATCGTCTCTTCACTACTCACTCTCTTTTTGCCATTTAGAAATCTGCACACCATCCGCTCCACACTATTTTCGCATATGCTAGATAACCTGTATCTTCTCTCGTGACTAGTGTACTCTTATCGTAGCACTCTAACTGTTCCATGATACTCTCTGAGATCCCTGCATCTCTAACTACCGTCAGACAATGCCAAGTCGCATGTTCATTGCATGCTACGATAACTGAAATGACATGCTTGCGAGTGGGACGTGATGAGTTGCGGAAGTGTTTTGCTGGTTTTTTAGGTGTGTGAGGCTGAGAGAGTAGAAGTGACGTGGAGTGATTATGACGTACGTCAGCTTAGATGTTTGTTATCTCCCATAAATAATAAATGGCAATTCTCTATTTCTCGAAGTTTACGTTTAAAAATCTTTTGATTTGAGATATTTATTGAAATGACAAGGTTTCTTGTAGTGAATTATCCAAGAAAAGGGAGAAATTTGATATCTCAGAATGAAAAAAGCCTATCTAAACAAAAAGGAAAAGAAAAAAAGAAAGATTCAAACAGTTGTTTGTTTAGTTTAATTATAACTTTTATGACTTATTGTTAAATTTGCAGACTTTGTTTTTTTGATATCTCTTAATTAATTATATGACCAGCATCAAATAAATTCTAGTTTTTTCTCGAGAGAATTTCATTTTTATTTTATTCGGAAGCTTGAAAGTAGTAAAAGCAGTGGAAAGAATATATATGATCAATTAGCAAATAATATTTGTCGTCTAATCAGTCAAGAAAATAGGACTTATTCGACTGTCCTTCATGAGTTCATTTTTGACTTACGAAAGATGGTGTGGAATATGAGAATTGTCAATACAATTGAAAATTAAGCAATTCTAAATTATCGGAAGGTACCTTAGAATATATCTAAAAGTTAACATACATTGTGAAACACCTTTAATTAGTTTTATGAGAAAGGAATCTGTTTATATTCTAGATTACTATCAATATTTTTATATATTTCATTTTTGTTTTATTTCAGTTTTCAATTTAGTTTTCAACTTTTTTTTTTTTTTTTTATTTCTGCTTAGCTACAAATCTGTTCAGGGAATTGATATTGATTTAACTGGAAAGAATAGTTGCATTTTCAAAGCTTGACCAAAAAAGATTTTTATAATTCTTTACTGACGACATTTAAGGATGACGAATATTTCCTCTTGAAATTTCCCACAATGCAAAAGGGAATGTGTTGTCTATTTTCAACAATTACTTCATTCCTCAAATACAATTCATATTTTCGGCTACAATTTTTGAACATTTCAACAACAGTTTCAAAATGCTAATTCAAAGAAGAGATTTTTTATCCAAAGTAAATAAGGAAGTTTTGTTTTGAACTCTTAAACTATAATTAATCTTCTGTAAAAAGATAAAAGAATTATTCATGAATTATAAAAATCTTTGTTGGTCAAGCTTTGAAAATGAATAGCATTGGAATGATAGTATCAATCGATAACATAACAGAAATAGGTCCTTATAATTTTATTAATTCATTGAATAAGGTATATTCATGTAATCTAAACTATGCATACTTTCATAATTACTTTTTTTTCATAGCAAAAGTTTCAATCGATTTATCAAAACTATTTTTCAAGCAATGAAATGAATAAATCTGATCTCGCATAGTGATTGAAGAAAAGAGTGGATGTGAAACATTTTAATTTAAAATTACTGCGAGAGGTAAGAGTTTGAATTATGCACTGAATATGTTTCAATTATTTTTTTTTTCTTCAAAAGTTTTCTTATAAACTTTTCATTACTCTATCCTAAATTTCTAAAAGTCCACTGTGTTTTTTCACACTTCTTATGAAGCAGATATAATATATAATTTAAGTAAGTTATTTGATTGATATGATTGATAATGTAATGTTAAATATGAAAGCAAATGTTATGGGGTAAGTTAGATTTAAGTTTGAGAATTTATTCGAATGATCGAATAATTACGAAGCAAACATGAAATGATCATCAATTTAACTATTTCTAATGCATAAGAATAAAATGAAATTGCACAGCAATTAGGAAGTAAAGATTTGCTAGTTTTTGCTTTGTGAAAAAAAGAAAGTTGAAGTTTTGAAGTTTCTAACAAATTGATCTCTCTCTATCCCTCTTTCTCTTTCTCTTTCTCTCTCTCTCTCTCTCTCTGTTCCTCTTAGCATGATGAGATAAGCAAGAAAAGAAAGTAAAGAAAAAAAAAAATTAGTTTTAGAAAAAATTTCTAAAACGGAAAATGAACGCTGCAATGCAGCAACCATCATTGATGTTTGTCATAATAGATGCAAATAAATACTTCTTAGTCCCTAATAAAAGTATTGAATAATGCAAGTTGAACTGAACAACGAACAACTTTCTTCGTGCTTATTTCAATTGCAAATCTGTTAAAATTTGCTTCGAGAATCTAACAATGATGTATTTGTCGAGAAATAATGCAATGAAATTGTTTCATTGCATCATGAAATGAAAAAGTATTATTCACCTGTTTACATTTTAAATCTATTTCTATCTGATATTAAATAAAAAAAAAAAAAAAAAACAGTATACTTTGGAAAAAAATTATCATTAAGAGAAAATTTTTGAAGTTGTAGAGCAAAAAGGATTACATTTAGTTAATTACTTTATATGTTTACAACGAATTCATGAAGTAATTAGGGGAGAATGAAGTTAATATCAATTTCGATTCACTTTTATTCCATATTTTAGCAAAAATATATTTTCATAAAGTTAAATGAATAACTTCTTAAACACAAATATATTAGACATAAATTATTACTCATTACCTTAATGCTAATACATATTTATTGCTATCAGTTTGAACGACTAGTGTCAATTAAAAAAAACATAATACTAATTAAAATTCATTATAATTTGATATGAAATGAGTACTCATATTGAAGTTTTGATAAATATTTTCTGGAAAGAATAGTAAGATTACTTCTATTACAATATTTGGTGTTATAGTTTGTGTAAAAGAGGGAAAAAAAAAAACATTGAATCACTAAAAGCTATGCACTAAAAGAAATTTATAAACTAATAAATTAGTTAATAGAATTGAAGAAATAATGGAAATATATAAATTACATGAAATTTCCCTCTTAGCCATAAGTTGTATTTATTACTTTTACTTAGTTTTACGTAAATTAGAAGATAATAAGCTAATCAATTTGTTTTCTTACCACAGTTAATGAATTTAAAATTCTTGGCTAACTATGAGCCAATATTTGCTTTGCTGTTGTCAACGAAATTTTGATGTGTTCTCTTCCTTTTTTGCATTAAGTAACTGTAGTGGCGCAGTCTTTGAAATGTTTAATTTCTAAAATGAATATTTTCAAGTATAAAAAAGTAATGTTTCATTGTTTGCATCGGAAAGCTAATCCGTAAATTATTAATAAACATCTTAAAAATGAAGCTCATTGCTAGCTTTTATGATGAAATGGTATAATTTGCTACTTTAGTAATTTATAGGAAGCAAAATTCTTTTCTATCAACTTTGCAAGTGATCTTAGGAGAAATGTCAACATCAGAAGGATTTTGATATTGTTTTTGTAGTATGGCTTAAATGAATTTTGCTAGGACTACCAAATTAAGCACCAATTAAGAATGAAATCACTTCAAGAGCTATAATTTCAATTGTTATTCAAAAGATGAAAGTTTGTGGAAGTGGATGACATAACTTTTGGAGGTTTGCACTAACTGTTAAAGTTTAAAGTTTAACAGTTAGAAATTTGAATGCTATTTTGTGCAATTTTATTGTTTAATAAATACTTAATAAATCAATCATTAACATATAAATGCAACAGATATAACAAATCTTTCAAAAAAAGAAAAAAGGAAAACAAAGATTGGGATAAATCTCTCTTCACATTCTTTCATTCATTCATCATGAAAAGCCATTCTTTTAAAATTTAAAAAAGATCTAAATTCGAAAAGTGGAGAGAGATGTTTGTGATAGATCAAAAGAAAAAAATTCATGAAATATATGGAAGGTCAAATTTGAAGTACTTAAAAGTTTCCATCAAATTACATCGTTAGTTAAATTCCAAAAAATAAAAAGCGAAGAAAATGTTTTTTTTTCTTCATTATTTAACAATTGAAGTAAAAAAAGGAATAAATTATAAAACTGCAATCAGCAAAATCGGAATAAATTATGGGAGATGTTTTTTAGAATGTAATTTTTTCATTTTCACTTTTTTTTTTTTCAAATAACTCCTAAGTTTTCTCTTTCTCTCTCTCTCTCTCTCTCTCTTTGTAAATGTTTTATAGCTTTCAACTATGCAATAATTCTGATATATAAGGTTTGAAAATTGTAAAATTTTCCTCTCTAATATTCAAATTTTGAATTTAAAACAAGTTGAAACAAAATCAAATATACTACTCAAAGGGCATTTCAATGTCACAAAAGTTAATAATTTCCTTGAATTAAAGGTAATATGAAGGAAAGAGACAAATCACAAATATACAATGAATGATATCATTTAAGCTTATTTTCCTCTCATAAGCAAGAAAATTTTAAAGGAATGTTTTGATTCAGTAGAAAATTTTTAAAAATTAATTTTAATCAAAAATATACAATAAATTTATTGACTTTGTCCGGTTTGTGACATTGATGAACTTGATCGTTTCTGAAATATACATGAAATATTATTGTTTAGAAGGAGAGAGAGAGAGAGAGAGAGAGACAGAGATAGGTAAATGATCTTTTAGGTAAGAAATGTGACAATTCGAGAATGTCATATATTTTGTTAAAATTAACTGTTCACATTGTATGAAAGAGATTTAACAAATATAAATTATTATTATTGATAATACAGTTGCAACATTGTTTCTCTCTTTTATGACATTCATTGTTTTTTTCATTTAAATATTGAAATTGATGATGATTGCTTGTACTAAATATTTTTGAATAATGTACTTCGAAAATATCGTGTGGTACAAGTTCCATCGTTTTTGCATCTTCTTCCTCTTTCTTTTTGCCTAAAATTTAAATGGTAGAGTAATATTTATTATGTTTGAATTTATGAAACAATACAATTTGTTCAGAAAGTCAACATTTAATTACTTTCACTGATAATTTAATTAATCGATCATAAATGATTAATGGAACAATTAATCATCGATGACAATGTTTTGAGAAATAGGAAAATTGATGGTTAAAATATTTTGAAATTACATGCTTACACAATTGATGTTCAGAAAGTAGTACGACTGGTAAACCAAACATAAATAAAACTGATAATAATCCCAATACAATATATGAAATATGTAAAGCAAATAACCGTCCTGAAATTCACTTAATCATCTTTTATCTTTTCCGGATGCAAAAACGGATAATTTTCTACAAATAATTCTTAACTCTTACATTTTTTTTTTTTTTTACTGATATATCTTTTCAATAAACAGTACATAGTTGTTAACCTTGTAATTGAAATTTATTGACTATTTCAATAAGAATAGCTGTAAAATTAATCGGAACTACTGGTACTTCTGTATAAACCGCAGTAATATCACTGAATAATGTAGTAGCAACAATCGACCGCCATGTATATTTCATTTTCCTAATAATAATAATAATAATAATAATAATTAACTTGCAACATTTGTGTTTTTTTTTTTTATTTCTAACTTTGTTAACATTTTAAAAAGAATTCAAAAATTTTCCTAATAATAATGATATTTTATTCCTTTGTTAATACTTTGAAAAGAATTCATAAAGGGTATTAACAAACTTTTTTTTTTTCAATGGATTGAATTTCGTACGTTATATACATATTCAATTTATTGAAATTTGAGTAGACGAAAAGAAAACTAAAATGGAACAATTTATTGTTGTCATTTTTTACATTATGTACAGAGTAACACAGAAAGGATAACAAATCATCTTAAAATTCTCATTTCTAAAACGCCACATTCATCTGCATGATAATCAATTTGATCAAATGTTATCATTGGACGTGCAGCTGATGGATCCCAACTATCCTTTGACCATTCTTCAGGTAATGCACTTCCAAATATTCCAAATACGGCAGCAGAAATCAAGAGAAGAGCTGCTAACATCAAAAAGATTACTCGCCACTCATCAGCACTACTGAAAAAAAAATCATAGAACTAGCAAACTTATCTTACTATTTTAAAGAACAAATCATCTTACTATTCCCTGCTCATTTACTAAATATTAATTACAAATTAAACGAGAACATATTTTCATAAAACTTCATAATAATGGTGCACCTATCCTCGAATTATCGCCATATTTATTCAAAAATCAGTATGTCAGCTTGTATTTAAACTTAAAAAAACTAACTATTCTTCCACAAAGAAAACAACAGCTGCAGCTGTAAAGAAAAATGCAAAACCAGTAAAAAACCGAATATAGGAAATAATAAATTGCCCAAAAAAACGGCCCACTAATATCGCACTACGATAAAACCCGTAAAGAGATAATGTTAAAATGCATAGGATGAAAGTGAATGCCGCCACGACACTGAAATTATAGAGTTGAGATATTACATAGAAAAGATAAAATAGGTAGCAATTTTTTTACTAAAAAATGATATGGCCATAAGCTATAAAGATATATTACTGTTCTACGCGCACCATTAATTTATCTGAATTTCGTTAGCAGAACCTCAGTAAAATAAAATTTCTAAATGTTAAGTTACAATCACATATTCAAAACATGTTATTAGCAAATTCTTCCAGCTATGCTGTTATTAGAATTGAGTCTTGATTTTGCAATCAAATAAAAGCTATTTTAAGGAAGATGTATAGTGAAATATTAAACTAAACAAAATTACCTGTCATGAAATATTCCGCCAGGAGGAAATATTGCGAGAAAAATAAAAATCAATGAACAAATAACAAAAGAGATAGTGTTGAATGTTAGTATTGATACTCTCTCACTAAAATGTTTCGCTAAACGATACCACAGCCAGTGAAGCTCTGTCATTATAAACTGGAATGAAAAGCAAACACTAAATTATCAAATATTACTTATCAGTTTATAATTAGAAGAAGCAATTTTAGCAAAGTTCATTATTCTCTTCAATCAAATGATATAATTAGCTAACATACACTTGATAAAATCACTTGCTTGTTTATCATATCAACAAAAAAAAAAAAAAAGAAAAATCTTATACCATAAACAAGAAAGGAATAGCAGCCAGTAGTGCGATATCAGTGCGAGTTTCACGAATAATCAACAGGCAGTACAAGGGTAAGAACTGAACAGCAACCGATACAACAAGAAAATAACCGCAAGCAGCAATCCAAATGGCCCAAACCGGAAATGACATAATCAACGGTCGACACGGATTCTCTGCCATAATTCGATTGTGTTCAGCCTACACAAAGAAAATGATAAATTTTGAATGACAAATAGAATATAAGCTCTACTTCACATAGTAAAGCATAAAGTAAAAGCACTCATAATAAATTGTAATTACCATTTTTTACAAATTCATTTTTCTTGCCAAGAAATTATTTAATAGATCTGAATGTTTTCCGGATACTATAGAAGCCTCTCAGTCATTGAAAAAATGAATAGGAAACAAATTCTATAATGTATGCAATATAAACCTTAATTTTTCCAGCCACAATTTTGTTCAGTTCCAGTCCATTCACTGAGGAATGATATTGTGGTTTTTCTCGAAAAATAACCAGCCAGACAAATGCTAGTAAACAAGTCAACGCTGCATGTATCAAAAATGGTGCTCGGCAATCATGAGCGAATATAAAAGATGAAATTGGCCAACTAATTAAAGGTGCTAGCTGCAAATTACAAAAACAACATTATATGTTCATCCTTAGAGAAAATCATCTCAATAAATTTAATGTTTATTAGCTATATTTTGGATATACATTATCACATTTATTTATTGCTATGAGAAGAGCTATTCGGTTAGAGACCATAGCCTCTCCCCTATAATAGCTCGGTTCAGACATAAATGAGTAGCCATGAAAACTGCTCAAATTTCAGCACTCAAAAATATTCGTTTAGCTAACTAACTCACAAAGTCGCTCTTAGTCCAAAACTAGACTATAACTCAGTTATCGTTTCGTATTATTAAAATTTTTCCATAATAAGAGATATATTAAATATCTCTTATCATACCCCTCATAACTGCTTTCAAAAAAAAAAATATTTTAAATATTTCCAAAAGATGAAGTTCATTAAAATCTAAAAAAAAAAAAAAATTACCTGAATGAAAGATGTGCAACAAACCAAAAACAGAAATTGCTGTTTGAGAGTTCCCCAATTTGCTATCACTAAACCGATCATCGGATAAACGCTGGCAAAAACTAAACCCTGGATAAATCGCATGCAAGCTGTTAAATATTGGCCTAAATCATAAAAAAATCTTGAGATAAAAAAAAAAAAACAATTTTTGAACAGCTATAAATGTTGACCAAAACATAAATTTCATAAAAATAAATACAACAAATGTACAATTACCGTATTTAATTTGAGGTGTCACGACAAGTAAGGCAGTTGCTGCAGCTGATACCATCATCATAAATGCAAAAAACCGACGACCACCAAATGACCGAAGAAACCAAGAAATAGAAAAAGATCCACAAAACATTCCAATACCTGGAGCAGTCCAAATCAAAAAGTGTTGCATTCTCTTCTCCGGTGTTCGATGTGCAATACTTTCTCTTAAAATATATTTATAATGAATTTATTCATAAAAGTTTAGTTGTTCTCAAATTTGATAATTAAGTAGAGAATTACATTGTTAAAAAATTTTTAAGTAAAGAATAATCATTGTGAAAATATTTCAATTTACTGTTTCGATTTTTTGTCACCATCTTTCAAAATTTCACCCCACAGTCTATCTTCATCAATGTTATAAGCCATTTAAATCGTTATTACTTCATTCAAAGAATTCTAAAAGTCAGAAATGAATTGAAATTAGTTCAGAGCATTAGCCGTCAAAATACTTATTAATCACTTACTTACCAGATTAATTGGATTGTAAAAGCTGGGAAAAGCTGCTAACATTATGATATCAAATTTTTTTGAACTAGAAGTAGCTAACATTTCAATTTGCTGTCTCGATTTTCCGTTACCATCTTTCAAATTGTCATCCCACTGTCTGTCCTTATCAAGTTGTAAGCCATTTTTATAAGTCAGCTCTAGAAGTAAAAAAAAAAAAAAAACTATTCAAAAAGCAGAAAAACTTTTTTATAAAAATAAAAACTTTTTAAACTATAACATGGATTTTTTCAGTGTGTAAATATTTCGAATGAATTGTTCAATAAATGCTGTAAATAAAAACAAAGTGAGCTAGAAACTTACGTTCACTACCTTCTTGCTTACGAAAGATTGAAAGATCCGCACCAATTGGCCTAGAAGAAAAGTTGTAAAAACAAATTGTTGGCTTAATTCAATCTGAAGAAACTCAAAAATTTCAGTTTCTAATAACTTTTCCATAAAGATATACAATTATTTTCACCTTAATGACGTTGTTTTTTCATCATTTACATTTGTATCTGAAAATAAATTCCCATGAGCGAGTATTGTTACATTGCTTGCTAAAAAAGAATATTTGAAATCATAATATTAAATCCGAGAAAATGAAGACAATATAATAACTTCTTTTTTTTTTTTTCTGGAAATATATGCTTCTTGAAAAAAATGCACAATTCGAGAGTTCTACTGAAGTTTTATGAGCATTATGATTAAAAAATCACTTCCATACGACTCAACAGTTTCACTGAAATTGAAATTTACTCTTTCCAATATTTCCATTAAATGTCTGCTCTTTATATCTGAGTTTTCCAAACTGTCATTGTTAACAACGCTTCGCAAAAATCGCTCTGAAAAGTTATCATTATATTACCATCTCAACTATTTAATTCAATATAATCTGGCATATTTCTCAAAATATCATAAAAATCTTTCAAATTAATTTTGGCACTAATTATGAAGAAGAAAAAAAAAATAGGAAATACTTTTTCCTGTAGAAGTTAGCTCTGTCAAATGCACTTGCCTCCATAATTGAGTATTCTGTAAAATGTGAATTAGTTCACAAAAATATGAAGAATGTTTTTATATTTTTCATAAAATAATCAAACAAATTAAACTACTTCATGATAAGAATATAATTTTGAGCTATCACTAATAGTGTTAACTTTTCATTAACTTTTTGAAAATAAAGGTAATAAAACAGAATTATGAAAAATTGATCTACTGAAAATAAAAGAAGACTTGCTTTAGTTATTTTGTTCTAAAATTTAAAGCTGCCAAAATTTTGCTTGAAAGTGGAAATTCTATAAAGTGAAACTTTTTTAATATAATTGGAAGATTATTAATGAAGTAACAAAAATTATCATTTTAGGAATTCAATTTTTGATGAAAACTTTCTTTTTTTTTTCTGATAAAAACCCACATTGTTCTACATACCATTCAACCTGAGAATAAGATATTGTAAATTTATCAATTAAAATTAAACTTCTTCTTTATAGATGATAAATTCAAGTATTAATTTTACATTCTTCAAGTCAGTAAGTTATTAAACTATAAGTAAAACAACTTAACAATTTGCTTGCTACTAGAAATCAAACTTCACACTAATCTCTAACAAACAGTTCATCTATCAAAGTGAAATGAAAGAATAAATTTTAACTATGAATAAAGTAATGAGAAAAATGAAAACAGTAATGAAGTAATTTACCTGATAATCATCATATATTACAGCAATACTGTAGAGGATAATATTGGCGAATAAAATACTTAAACAAGCAATTAATAATATCAAAACAACGTAGCGAATATTATTAACAAAACAGCAACAGGTAAGCTGTGGAGATTTTAGCATTCGTTGAAAAACATTTGCAATCATTAGCAATACTTTTTCCTGAAAATAAATCAAAATGAAATTATTAAATTAAGCATATTAACAACTTTTTATCTTCGTTTTTTGATTTTAGTAAAAGTTTTTGGCAGAAGATACATGCAAAAGTTTTGTAAAAAAAAAAAAATCTATTAATAGAAAGTAAATATTCAAATTTTAACTATTAGTTAGAGAACAAAAAGATGGATATAATATAAATATCATACAATATCATGAAAAAATTTCAATAATTGCAACTATCTCTCATTTAGATACCATAAGATATTAATGATAAATTATTTTATCTTTAGCAAAAACTTTTATCACAAAACAATTTTTTTATATTTCACGAAAAATATCTTCAAATTTAAAAAAAAATATATATATATCTAGCACTAACACAAATGGATTTTAAATAACATGTAAAATGTAAATCTGAAAAAAGAAATTAAAGCGAATAAAACATAGTTATTCTAATATTTTATAATACATAAAAACAAGGAAGAAATTATTAAAAGTGTATTAAAATACTGAACTATAATAATAAATAAATAATTTTTAATTATTCAATAGTTAATTTAAGTACTATAAATGCAATGATCAATTGAATAGGAATAGTTCTGGTGACAATAGCAGTGTCACAAAATAAGTAAGAAAGAGATGAAGAGAAAAGCGATGAAATAAGAGGTGAGCGCAAAATAAATGAATCAATTCTTTTTTTTTTTTTTTTTTTTTTAGGGCAATTGAGTTGAAGGACATTGAGTAATAACTTTCAGAATTACATGAAAAGAAAGTTAGATGATAAACAATGTGACAGATAAATCTCGAAATGTTATCAATAATTTTTACATTATGTAATTTTTGAATATGCCAAAAATAATTTTCGATTAATGAGAGAAGATGATTGATATGATGATATAAGATAAAGTTATTCGATAGCATTAATCATAGCAATTGATTATTTCTTTTAAATAAAAAAAGTTAACAAAAGATTATTTGAATTAGATGAAGAAATTTAATAATGTATAAAATGTATTGTTTTTCTTTTCTTACAAAATTTACATCTAACTTTTTATTACAGATATTTAAATAAGCTTTCGAATAGGCGAGAAATGAAATGTTGAAATAAACCAGTTTTGATTAAAATTTAATGTGCGATCAGAAAATGATCAAAACAAAATCTTTAATCGATTAACCAATTTGTTTACTAATTGGAACAGTGATGATTAATAGAATAATTCATTATGCACTCAGCATGAATCATCATTATTTGATCATGTAAAACTGTCAACAAAGACATCAATAAATATCATCAAAGATCAATCAATACTTCCCAACTGATAATAACTAAGCATTCAAAATATAAATATCACCAAAGATCAATCAATACTTCCCAACTGATAATAACTAAGCATTCAAAATATAAATATCACCAAAGATCAATCAATACTTCCCAACTGATAATAACTAAGCATTCAAAATAAAATGCAATAATGAGTGCTCTAAATAGTTTTTCTGAAAATTAACTTAAAATATGCGGAAAAATCCATTTAAATAGTAAATATCTTATTGTTTAGTGTTAATTGAATATGCTATGAAATAAAGTAAAGTAAAAGGTAAGTGAGAGAGTATGAATGTAAATTGTAGTATTGAAGAGGAATAAATTAAAGTAATTTATTGTTTGAGAAATTATTTAATTCTTAAAAAAAAATACTCAAACAAAACGGAACTATAATGAGAATAAAATGTGAATGTAATGAAATTTCTCATAGAATTTAATAAAATAACTTTAGAAAAAATAGCTTATCGGTTCGTTTTGATAATGGACGAAAGAGTAAAAAAGCAAATCATACAAACAAAAAATCTGCGATGTCAGTGTAATAAGAGAGAATACGCTTGTATACACATACACATACATATACATACACACATACATACACATACATACACCCATACATACACATACATACACGCATACATACACATACACATACACGCATACATACACATACACATACACAGCAGATATTATATGTAGGTATGTATGATTGTGGCGCAATTAATCTGTGTGTCTCGTCGATGCTCAAACTGACAGCAAAAAGAGGAAGAAGGTAAAACTGTAAAATGTAGGGGCGAATGAGAGTTACCTTACCCGTAGGACATCGCTTCTATTTATCGATAATATTTCAACAAGGAGAGAGTTTTGTGCAGTTAGATGACAGATGACAGTTATAGGTAAGTGATTGTGAAGTGAAGAGAATGCACTCATTAGAAAAGTATGAGAATTCTTAAGGTGAGAAAATCAAACATAATGTTTTCGTATAATTGAAGAGCACATAAGCAGTTTGAAATGATCGTAAAATTATTGTAAGAGAGTGTGTTACATTGCAATGAATTATGTGTTGCATGCACGTTAATCATTGCATTTTGTAAAATTTTCAAAGCATTTCATTTCAAGAAAAATAATTTATTCCAAATCGAAATGAAAATATCAAACAGAATGAAGAGTAAGATGACAGTAGAATGAATAACAAAGATAAAATGATACAATGATTAATAATCGTATTCAAGGAAATGATTTCATTTTTTCCAAATTTTCATATCTTTTCAATACTGCTAGATCATGTCATATTAATATATCTCAGTTTAAATGACTTCTTCAGCAAACAATATTTCATGTATAAAGTTAAAATGGTACACACAAATCATTTCTTTACATATTACTTACTACTACTTGGATATTTCTCTGCTGTGAGATTTGCAATCCAAGATCTAGGTGGTGTTCGTAATGCACCATCATAGTTAGGATCTGGTAATTTTGAACGATCCACATCAGCATAATAGGGATGTTTGAGGAGTTGTTTAGCTGATATACGCTTGCTTGGATCGTACGTAAGTAATAGCTAAAAGTATAAGAAAAGCATATACTGTTATATGTTAATAGTGGACATAACTTCACCTACTTTTCCTGCATTTCAACATTTTTTGTTTTAAAGTTAACTTTAATAATGACAATTATGCCAAATACAATATCACATCAATTCTCATCATTTTCATAATGTAAATTTTAATGACAAATTGTAGGAACAGTTCTTACAAAACAAATAACAACTGAACTTAAGGAGCATAAAAAACTTCTTTAAATGAGCCATTAAACAAACTCGAATTATGGCGATACCGATAGGATCCACGTATGAGCTGAGCAAATTATCAAGATGATCATATTCATAACGAGGAAATACAATAGTTGAATAAAATGGTAGTTCTGATACTCCTTTCCAGATCTCTTCTGTAGGCGTTTTCAGTCGTCTGATAAGGAGTTATAAATTATATTATGCTATGCAAACAATACAAAATAGTGCAATAAGAACTTTTTTTACTCAATAATTTCACGAAAAATTTTGAAGTTTCGAAATTCTAAAACACAGGTAACAAATATGGCATATTTCAAAATGCTATATCTTTATTATTTTATTTATTGAGTAAAAGAAAAGAAACGAACGAAAATATTTCTCTTAGCTGGCTCGTTTGTGAATGTCCAGGAAATAGAACATCTTTCGTAGCCATTTCAGCAAATATACATCCAATACTCCACATATCGATTGCCGGTGAATATCGAACTGCTCCAAGAAGTAGTTCAGGTGCTCTATACGATAGCGTTACTATCTTAATTTTAGATATATTCAATAAATCAGAATAAGCAATATTCTATGCAAAGCAATAATGTTGCAAAAGAAATGATAATTAATGAATGTATCAAGTCTTGAAGTATTCTATCAAATGTTTTATCAAATGTCCTCGAATGTTTATCAAAAGTCTAAGTTTACTGCTATACTTGGTTATACATTTGCCTTGTAATACTTTTCTAAAATTCGTAAATCAGTTAAAATTGAAATAAAAATTAATCATAAGGGTAGATATAACCAACTCTATTTGTATAGGCACGTGTTGGCATACCAAATTCTCTTGCTAAACCAAAATCAGCAATTTTGATAGCGCCATAAGTATTGAGTAAGAGATTTGATGGTTTCATATCACGATGTAAAATGGCTCGTTGATGACAATAGCACATTCCTTGAAGGATTTGATATTGAAATGATTTCTGCTAAAATGCATTAATTTGCATTCTGAGATATTAATTACATATTACTAACTTAAATCTTATGTATTATGCTGCTTACTATTGGTTTAGTAATTAAAAGTTTTTAGTAACTTAAGGAGTTCTAACTAGCATTTCATCTTTTTTTTTTTCCTTTTTTCCTATAAATGTAATGTGCTTGAATATAATATACAGAAATGTACATGGAACTATACTGCATATCTATAAACTTCAAAATGCAGTCAGCAGTATTACATCAAATTTTTCTCGCTATTGATAATAAGATGATCATTTGAATATTTTAGTGAATTTATTGGGACGGCTGGAACTGTATGATAAACAATAGAGCCAAGCCCTTATTAGGCCTTTAAATGAAATCCATAATGTTGGGTAAAGAACCAGCTGCTTTTCTAATTAGATTGTCGTTGATAAGATTTGTTGGAGAATTAATATTAAAATTTAATTATGTGAGAAATGAAGTGGTGATATTGAGACATAGAAGATTACAAGCCATCGTTCCATAAAGATATTTTGGGGTAGCTGTTTTATGTATTTCAACAAATCGATATACAAGAATTCAAAAGCCAAATGTACGTTTGTTTCATCAAAAATTACTTCTTCAAGCCTGAAAACATACAAGTAAAAATACTAATGCTAAAAAGAAGTACACTAGTAAACGTTTTCGATACACATAACAAAACAAAATTGCTTTGAATTTCAATCTTTAATTAATTAATAGAAATTGCTAAATTCTGCTCACTAACCGTACAATATTTGGATGATCCAATTCTCTCATAACTGATATTTCACGTATAACAGCAGGTTTAAGCATACCGTCAGGAGTTGTATCGAAACAAAGGCGTTTCAAAGCAACAAGTTTCCCGGTTCGAATGTCAGCTGCTTTGTAAACCATGCCGAAACTACCTCAATTAATTAATGTTTTTCGAATTAATTCTGCATATATATATATGCATGTTAGAACAATTTTATAATTCGATAAAAATAAAATATCTAGCAAAATATGCGATTCCTAATTAACTATTTAAGATGACTCTGGAGAAGCTACAATCGTATATTACATTATAATAATCAAAATAAATTGAAATACATAAGCAATAATGATGAATTAAAGAGAAAAATCACCTTCACCAATATGCTCTATCAAAGAATAATATTGTAATCCGTCTTCTGAAGTAGTCATATCCAAATAATATACTTGCAAATGATTCCTCCTCTAAAGATACATTTCAGTCTGAATTTAAAATTGAAACAAATCACTCAATGTAGTGAATTTAATAAATGATAAGACTTTCAAATTTATTAATTGAGGAATCAGTCAATTATTACAGTAATGGATAGAAAACTTTACAGTATTAAGAGAGCCTTGAAAGATAAACACAGCTGTTTTATGGATAACTACATATTTTTCTTAGAACTGTCATCCCATCTCTTCGATCTTCTTCTTCCCACTAGAATTAATCAGCTCATTCCTAAGAAATCTCACCCTGATTGTAATATATGAAATGAATTAGAATATTGCATATGGATAAAACAACCCTATGTCAGTCTCATTTGTAGCTTTTCAATTAAGTGGTTCCTTTAAGTTTAACATGCTTAAATGATGGAATGTTTGAGTGAACTAATGTTTGTTCCAAACTAACCACATATACCAGAATGATAAGCGTAAAGGAAAGATCATCTTTATGTAAAGATCACCTTCTATGTTCAACTGCCTGCAAAACTGGTAGATCTCAAAGATCTATCTTATTTCTTTACTAGTTATGAATTTGTTAGTGCCATACTCATTCTTCATACAAAGATCAGTGTTGAATGTCTCGAGTGACAAGCATTTTGCATCATAACAATCAAAGACAAGCAATAATATCCTTCCAATATCGGGATTGAATGCAAACCTTTCTATTACATTTTGAATATTCTAATAACGAAACAAAGGAATGTAGCGGAACCAGCGCAAATATATCATCAATAACTGTTTTGAGGGATTTAGAACTGCCTAATATAGATCCAAAATATGCTATCGTTTGTATAAATATTCGCTAAAACGAGAAGACAGGATGAAAATTTAAAGCTATTTACTGCTTAGACTTATACTAAAAATATCAATATCAACATCTAATCTCATTCCCTCATGATTCACAATGAACAGACACCACTTTTTTACAGCTGCATTTTATTGTGTTATTCCTGATATACTGCTTATTGTGAGCAAATCTATGATTAAAATAATGTTTTATAAACTTCGTAGAATTTGGTAAGAGATTCTTCTGAAAAGCAGTTTTCTCTACACATAAAATATGATACCTGACAGTTCTGCTATTTCTAATAACAGTTTGTGATACACAACTATTCCATGAACAAGTGAAAAAAAGATAATTCAAAGAAATTTGTTTATTCTATTCTAAGAAGAAAAAGGCAATAATTTGTACTTGTACTTGTTGAAGAAAAATTAAAAATACATGCATGAAGGACACTTACTGCAACCATTTTTCCTTCACATAAATGAGAACTTTGAGTAAATACAAGACTATTTGAATCCAATTAACATTTGTCAATAACACTACACTGTTATGCTTTATGGAACAGTAATGATCAAGGATGAATAGAATAAGCGGAAAGCACAGTCAGTTTTAAGCAGCAAAAAAAGTTAAGTTTAAATCAGATATATCGAGGAGGTAAAACCAACGTCCCATCATAATTGCCAGCTGGAAGTTTTTTTCGATCAACATCATCAAAATATGGATTCTTCAGTAGCTGTTTCGCTGAGATTCGTTGTGCCGGATCGTAAATAAGCATGTCCTATTAAGAACATACAGTAAGTATAGAAATTCAAAGTGATCTTCATCTAGAATAAATTGTTAAAAATTCAAATGTTCAAATTCCAATGAATTAATCCTTACACGCAAAATCTTAATGCCTTCAGGATCCATATAAGGGTCAAGAATTTTGCGCAAACCATCTTCCTTCCATTGAGGGAATGACATCTTGAAATCTGGAAGCTGGGTAACTCCGTGCCAAATATCTTCAGTAGGAGTCGACATTATTCTGAAAGAAAAAAAAAACAGAAAAGATAGCTAGAGAAACCAACATAAATGCAGGAAACAAACCGGAAAATGCGAAAAATCTGATCAATTTCTGAATCACCCTGAAATAGCGGCACTTTTGTAGCCATCTCAGCAGCTATGCATCCGATGCTCCATATATCGACTCCCATAGAATATCGAGTTGCGCCAAGAAGTACTTCAGGAGCTCGATACCAGAGAGTGACAATCTGTTGAACAGAATAATTTAATATAATGCAACATGAAGAATATTTTCAACGGCACACTTTATGGTTAGTTTAATTAAAAGCTAAAAATCACTTCATGAGTGTAAGCCCTTATTGGAATACCGATAGCTCTTGCAAGACCAAAATCTGCAAGTTTAATCGCACCATTTTGATCAACCAGTAAATTCTGTGGTTTCAAATCACGATGGAGAACACGCCTCTGGTGACAGAAACAAATAGCTTGCAATATTTGATATAAGTAAGATTTTTGCTGCAAAAATTAAATTGATTAGTAATTTATCCTCGTTCAGTTTATTAAACATTTCACAACCACTACTACAAAAATACTTTCCTTTCTCTTCATAGAATTTCCACTTATGAAAAAAGATCACTGACCAATTCTTTGTTCATCAACTCACTGTCAGGAACTGTATCAATGTATTTCTTCAAATCCATATAGAGAAATTCAAAAATCAAGTATAACCGATTCTCTTCAAGTATGATTTCTTCAAGACTGAAAACACGAAATTTCGATCGACTTCAACTATATTCGGATAATGAGTCCGGTAAATTTCTGGTATTGAAACAATTACTTCCTATTCATAAATTCGTTAAAATATATAACTTAATTCCTCACTTTTTTCGCTGAGTTTTCAAACAAAGCGACCAAAGAATATGTCTTAATGAAAAACCAACGCAACAATGTTTGGATGAGTTAATTCTCGAAGCAATGAAATTTCTCGAATTGCTGTTGCTGGAACTCCTTCATCTTCATTTTCCAAACGAATCTTCTTCATTGCAACCATCTTTCCTGATCGTTTATCGATGCCTTTGTAAACGACTCCATATGTTCCTGAAAATACAAAAAAATACTTCGTATCTTTGCAGAGATTTGCTTTCATAGAATGATTCATGACTGAAAAGAATTTTATATTTTTCATATACTATAAATAAATTAGTAGGGCAAGAAGCTGCAGTGAGTGGCACTAATACAATGAAGTAGAAGTTCAGACAAATCAGAAGTTAAACAATACAGCTACCAACATGCCGTTCGATCCACATCATCTGTCACAGTAGATATGGCTAATTATTTAAAAGAAAGTACTTCCAAGATTTTCCGAAATCTGGTAGCTAAATCTCCATCAATTTGGACATTTCCAGTGATTTTATGATGAGAAATTTTAGAGAAATACCTTCGCCAATTTTCTCAATTCGACTATAATTTTGCAAAGCGCTAATTTCTCCGGAGTCCATTCTTTATATTGCAAGAGACGTGAAAAGTAAATAATTTTTATTTCTGAAAACTGTACAGATTACTAACCATACAATAACAACTCAACATCCTTCTACTTATTTCAAAAAAAAAAAAAAGCACTGAAGAACAAACAGACAGAAACAAGGCCTCAGCAAACTCTCATTACATTATTACCTCACTTATCAATCAATGTATTTTAAACATTGTCTACATATTTCATGAGCACAATTACATTAAACAGTTTTATTGAAATCTCACTTCACTCATGTATATATCAAATCCTGCAGAAAAGCATTAAAAGTCAAATAACCCACGATTAGGTAACAAGTATAACAAAACAGAAACTGATATCTTGTACTTATTGAAAATCCCTCAGAACTGACGGAATACATTAAAAAGAGTTATAGAGGAATGCGATGATAAGCTCGAGAGTAGGCCTACCCATAGAATATAGCTAAACCCATCACTAATACACTAAGAGCCATTATATGCTATTACAAAAAGTATTGCGCGAATAAATTTAAACGTGAAATTACCAATCTATTCATGATTGACCTAAATTTTGCATCAAAATTTAAATTATGAGCCATCCAAATTTCGATACAAAGACACCTAATTTAATTATCAAATTCTGAGGAAAAAGTAATAAACGGTAATCACATAAACATCCTCATGAATCTCAGAACCAGGATATTTTCAAAATTTCGAGGAAGCGCAAAAATACCCTTCTGAAGAACAAAGAGAAATTAAAGAGCAATCATAAGAGTACAGCATATAGAATCATATGTAAACAGTGCAGTAGCTTAATCGAGTCACACTCAGCAAAACAATTTCGATTTTTGGGATTCACATAGCAAATGTTACGCGATCATCCCCTCTGTACTACTTACGTGTACTTCCGCTACGTGTACATTCCCATAAGTCTAACCGTAAACAGATACGCTTTCCCTCTCTACCCTCACAATCCCAGGCGAATTATTTAAATTTGATCATTCACTTGGCGCTTTTCTCTAGAGTCGTTATGAAACGAGTTGTGTCCTGAAGCCATTTCAGGTTAGTTTGTGGATACGTGAACACACGTATATCCGTAACGAGCCACTCCAGCGCAAGTGGTAAGTACGTAAAGGTGCGTAATGTAACTTTTGTGTAACCTGGATATGTGTGTCGTGTATAAGATATGAGATTGTATGAATAGCACTTCATGTATATCTAGTTGAACTTTAGTTTCAGAGATGTCAAAATATTGAAAAGTAAAAAGTTAACATTTCGTTTTTATGCACATTACTACTAATAATAATTACTAAACGTGTATACAACAAATTATGATGAATGAAATATGTTGAAACAATGTGAAATTATTGAGGATTTCCTT